TCCTCTTAGTGATATGTGGCTGCATGACATAATCCACAAAGGTTTTCTCTGTCTGTTGCCCGCCTCACTAGTTTCGTCAAATTGCTGATGGCTTCCATATCAGTTGATCCACAGAGGCTTATGTCCATTTTAAGAAGACGATTCAAAGCATAGATGTCTGAGTGGTTGCTTCAGAAGTGAATTTTCTTATCAATGTTTAGAATAGAATAGAGCTGGAAGGGACTTGGAGATTTTCTAGTGTAGCCCACTACTCAAGCAGGAGAATGTGTACCATCTCAAACAAGTGACTGTCCAGCCTCTTCTTAAAAACCTCCAGTGATGGAGCACCCATGATTTCTAGAGGCAAGCTGTTCCACTGGTTAATTGTCCTCACTATCAGGAAGTTTCTCCTTAATTCCAGGTTGCTTCTCTATTTGATCAGTTTCCAACCATTGTTTCTCGTTCTTCCCTCTGGTGCTTTGGTGAATAATGTGACCCCCTCTTCTTTGTGGCAGCCCCTCAAATACTGGAACACTGCTATCATGTCTCCCCTATTTCTTCTTTTCTTTAGACTAACCAAACCTAACTCCTGTAGCCATTCTTCGTATATTTTAGCCTCCAGGCCTTTGATCATCTTAGTTGCTCTTCTCTTGATTTTTTTTCCAAACTCTCAACATCTTTTTTGTGATATGGTGACCAGAATTGGCTGCAGTATTCCAGGTGTGGTCTTACTAGGGTTTTATAAAGCAGTACTAATATTTCGCATGATCTTGATTCTATGTTTCTGTTTATATAACCCAGGATTGTATTAGCTTTTTTGGCTGCTGCTGCACACTGCTGGCTATAGTCAAGTGATCGTCCACTAGGACTCCAAGGTCCCTCTCACAGATACTGTTTTTAAGCCAGGTCTCACCCAGTCTGTACTTGTACCTTTGATTTTTCCTGCCTAAATGTAAAACTTTGCTTTTTTCCACATTGAAACTCATTTTGTTGGATAGGGCCCATTGTTCATGTTTGTCAAGATCTTGTTGGATCCTGAGTTTGTCTTCGGGGGTGTTGGCTGCTCCTACCAGTTTGGTGAGTTCCCCTTCAATTCCCTCATCTAAGTCATTGATGAAGATATTGAAAAGTACTGGGCCTTAGACGGAACCTTGTGGTACCCCACTGCTTCTCTCCATGTGGATGTGGTGCCGTTGAGGACTACTCATTGAGTACGGTTTGCCAGCCAGCTACAGATCCATCTGGTGGTGATATTGTCTATTCCACCTTTTTCTAGCTTACCAATGAGTAGGTTGTGGTCTACTTTATCAAATGCCTTAATGAAATCTAAGTATACTACGTCCACAGCATTTTGCTGGTCTACTAGTTTAGTCACTTTATCAAAGAATGAAATAAGATTGGTTTGGCATGATCTGTTTTTAACAAACCCGTGCTGGCTACTAGTTATAACTTTGTTTGCTTCTAGTTGTTCGCAGATCTGTTTTTTGATTATCTTTTAAAGGATCTTCCCAGATATTGATGTTAAACTGATTGGTCTGTAGTTTCCTGGATCCGTTTTTTCCCTTTCTTGAAGATGGGAACCATATCAGCCCTTTTCCAATCCTTGGGTACTTCCTGGTGCTCCAGGATTCATGAAAGATGTGGTGCAATGGTTCTGAGATAACATCTGCCAGCTCCTTCAGAACTCTGGGATGTAATCTGTCGGGTCCCAGTGATTTATATTTGTCAAGGTCGGATAGGTGTTCTCTTACCATTTTTTTTCTTATTTTAGTTTTTGTTTCTAGTTTGTCTTTTGCAGTGGCTTTTTTTGATAAGTTGTGCTATAGTTTGTTTTTCTGTGAAAACTGATACAAAGTATTAGTTAAGCAGCTCTGCTTTCTCCCTGTTTCCTGTTATTTCCTTCCCATCTTCTTCTTTAGTGGACCTACAGCTTCCTTGACCTTTTTCTTGTTAATATGTGGGAAGAAACTTTTTTTATTATCCTTGATTTCTGTTGCAAGTCTTTGTTCATTCTGAGCCTTTGCTTTCCTGACTTCATCTTTGCATGTTCTGGTTGTCTGCTGATAATTGGCCTTAGTTATGTGCCCATCTTTCCATTTTTTGTATTTGTCCTTTTTGTCTTTCAGTTTGTCAGAGCAATCTTTGTGCAGCCATTTTGCTTTCTTCTTGAATTTATTTTTTTTCTTTTTCAGTGGTATTGTGCTGGATTGGGCTTTTACGATTGCATTTTTCAGAGTTTCCCATGCTTCTTGGGTTGTTTTCCCCTTTAGGATTTTCATCCGTGGGATCTTTTCTAGGTTTTCTCTGAGTTTGTTAAAGTCAGCTCTTTTGAAGTTTAAGACACTGGTTGGATTGTTTTCTTGGCAACACCAACCCTTTAGCCAATGGTTTATTTCTGAAATTCTTTTTTTCTTCAATGGATGTTGGCCTTTCATTGGGAGTACTGATGAGAACACTACTTGTGCTCCTAGCTTCTTAACTTTATTGCCTAGTTGTTTGTAATCTCTCACTATTTTACTCAGGTTCTTAGTTGTGTCATTCTTCCCAATATGGAGGAGGAGGAAAGTAATTGTAGACCTAATTATTTTGGTAGGTTGTTTTCTATTGCTAGTGTTTGCATTTTATTAAATTCCAGTATGACGTGGTCACTTTCACCCAAAGTTCTGGCAACTTCAACTCCCTCTATCACTTCTTCTCTATTAGTAAGAATTAAGTCCAGTATAGCTTTACATCTAGTTCTCTCCTCCACCTTTTGGGTGACAAAGTTGTCAGCTAGGTTGGTTAGGAATCTGTTTGATCTCCCGCTCGCTGCAGAGTTTGTCTCCCAGTTGATATCTGGATAGTTGAAGTCTCCCATTACTATTGTGTTATACTTGCTACATATATTTGTTAACTGGTTGGCAAAGAGTTCATCTATTTCTTGGGTAGGCTGTAATATACACTTATGGGAATGTCACTTTTTTCTCTTTTATATTGACCCATATACATGTTGGAGAGATTTTATCTTTGATCATGTGCATTTCTGTAGATATGTAGTGTTCTCTTACATATAGTGCAACTCCCCCTCCTCTTTTTGTAGACCTGTTTCTTTTGAACAATTTGTAATCCATATCCATCAGTCCATTCCATTCATGGGTTTCGTCCCACCAAGTTTCTGTAATGCCAATTATGTCATACCCTCCCTCGTGTACTATTGCTTCTAGTTCACCCTGTTTGTTCCCCAAGCTTTGAACATTTGTATATAAGCATTTCTCATATGCCTGTCTGTGGGCATGTTTCCTGCATCTCCTGATGTTTGAGTTTTTCTGTTTTCTCATCACTGTCTACCTCATTGTTTCTCCCACCCACCTCAGGTTTTTCCGCCTCCAATTCCTCATAGCTGACGGATTGCTGTAGGCCTTTTGTCCTCTGCCAGACCAGGTTAGCAGGAGGCCGGGGAGTGCCTTCCCTTCTAATTGTCAAACCTTGTTAAACATCCTTCAGAGGTTTATGGAGAATTCAGGAGACTGTAAATGTACATAGGCCAGTATTAAATAAGTTTTCCCTTAAGAGTCCCATCCATTGTTTAGTCTTGTCTTTATAGGCCATTTAGAAGCTTCATGTGATTGCCTTTTCTTGCAGTTCAGATTTTCCAATCAACTTGGCTAAATTTTACCATTGAGGAGCATAATGTAAATGCTTTGATCAGCTTCATTCTAATTAAATAGCTTTGGGGCAGTAAATGTTTACCTATTTTATTTTATGGCAATTAGTAAACTATCTTGGCAGACAGGCAGACAAGCAGATATAATAAAACTATAGCTATAGTCAATAATGTATCTTCTCAGATGCCAATTTTCATAACAGGTTTGTAGTTCTCCATATCTTTAAGGCTAGCATACAATTCAATAAGTAAACAAATATTTTTCGCATCCTTATATGTCTTCCAGATATTTTCTAGTGCATTGCAGATCTATAGATTAAAATCAATTAAAGGACAGATCAAAGATGTCCCACTAAAGAGATGGAATGCATATGAAATTACTGAAGAAATGTGTCTGTGTATCTTTCAATATGAGGTTGATTTCCAAACCACAAATATTTCATTTGTTTAGTCTGGAGAGCTATTATCCCCATCCAATCTTTTTCAAAATATTGGGCATTCTTACATCTGTAATCAACAGCCTACTCAAAACAGAACTGCTGCTCAATTTTGTATTCTGATCTTCAGCACATCTTAAGAACCAATATTGATAGAATTAACCTCAATTAATTTGGGGTTTTTTTGTTGTTGTTTTTGCTTCACTGGGAGCAACTGCTGTATTAGATTAACTTGAACATCTCACTGAATAATATGTAACCCATACCACCTGTGATCTGTTTCATCTTTGTTTTCAAAATAATTTCCTGATAACCAAGAGCAGCTTTAATACATGGTGCCATGAGTGATGGACAAGTAATTTAAGAGAGGTGTCGTAGATGTTTTGGTCATGTTAATACAGTGCAATATATCGGGTAAAATGATTCAAAATGGCACTGTTTGACAGATGTAAGTATTTGTAATTGGAATACTAAGAACTCTCTGTGAAGCATATAAATCAGCCATAACAATCTTAATGGTAGTATTTGATTGGCACTTCTTGCATAAGATATTGTACATGTGTTTCATACAAGCAATTATCTATGTTTCAGAGATTTTAAAAATGAGAAGGGCACATGAGATTGGTAAACAGAGGATATGGGGGGGGGGAAACTATGTTGACCCATGTGGTCAGCTAGCTCAGTTGGCATTTAGCACAAATGCATAAATATTCTGGCTAGATGCTAGTCTTGTGGTGTACAACTATAGGATGGAACTTAGGGCGGAACTATAATTAAGTTGACTGGATATTCTAGAATAGAAGGTTGGAAATAAAATTATTCTAATCTATATCTGATCATTCCACTCTTAAGTAGAAACCTGATTCAGAAGATTCCCCAACATTTAAAAATGTTTTACTTGGAGTGTGTAATTGTCCCTTTCTTCCTTTTCTTCACCTCAGGCCTATTGGAAAAAGATGAATCAGCTTCTACAAACCTTGAATCAGAAGCTTGCAAGTCTTAACCATGGCCAAGAAGGGATAGTCAAGATCAGTGCAGCTGTCTCAGATAAAGTGGTAGCTTTTAAAAGTAAACCTCCATCCATCCAAAGAGAAATGTTGAGTGTCTGCAGTGATCCATATACTTTAGCCCAACAGCTAACTCATGTAGAACTGGTAAGTGGATAGTAAATACTTGATTTCATTGTCTGGTTATAGAAGAAAAGAAAAAATTCTGAAAACTTCTTACTGAGACTTCTTAAATTTATAATCCACTAGGAACATTTGAGTCAATTGCATTGTCATTCATGTTTGATTGCAGTCCTGGAGGGTTCATTTATTGAAGGGGGATCCACATCTTTAGAATTCAAATATTGCAATATCAGAGCAGGTCTATCTGCATTGCCAATATTCACTAAATCCTACCAGCAAAAAACTAAGAGGATAGAAGTCAGGAAGGAGCAATTGCCATCAGTCTTCCTTCCAGTTCATTTCCAATAAAGGAGTCAAGATGCTTTAGACTAGATCATCTGATGGGCTGATGGTCAGGTTATGTCGGATACCAACTGATGCAGTTTGGAGCGTGAAAAATTAAATCATGTATCATAGTAGTTTATATCACTGTTGTTATATGTGTGCAAAACTAGGCTACCCAAAACAAGTTGCAAAAATCCAGAAACCAATAGATAACAGCAAAGAGATACAGAAAATTTCAACAATTTGCTGCCATGTAGATTTTTTCACCTTATAAAAACATAATTCAAGAACTAGCAGTCAAATTAGACAAAATAATACAGATATTAATTGTTTCTATTATGCCTTTAAGTGTCTGCAGAAAAGTACATAAAGATAGGTTCTTGTTGAAGATGTCCTCATAAACAACCCATAGTTGCTGATTAAAAGTAATAAGTTCCCAGTGGGGAAAAGTACAATTTTAATAGGAAAAGGTTGTGAGGAGATAGTTTTAATTTATTTGCTTTTTCAAAAAATAAAATAAAATAGATTAAATTTCTGAGCTTGCATCTCCTCTATTATCTTTCTTTATTTGGACCTGAAGTCAGTGCTTTTTTTTTAAAAAAAAAAAAAAAAAAGTGCCAGTACTCACACATGTCATACAACCTGCCTTGCCTACCCTACAAGGTTTACCTTTGTAGTTGAAAAAAAAACCCTTCAATTTTTAGTGTATCTAAAGACTAGGATTTTGTTCAAGGTAAGTTAATACTATTAACGTTACCATGCACTGTATGGCTTTAAATTACAAGAAGGCATTTTATTAATCTTTTGGGACATTTACCACTGGCATACCCATTTAATGAGTGGAAATATCAGTTTTCTATCTGGAATGAAATTGGCCCAATAAAACAAAATTTGGTTGCTTGTAATTGATTGAATTATTTTTAAGAAGTTGTCAAACAAGGTGGAAAAATTTACATTTGGAGTTTAATATGGATATTGACTTGAAACAAATTAAAGTTGAAACTTTGTCAGTGAACAGATTACTTTTAACTTACCTTTAAGTTAAACCCAATTTAATAAATAGATCTGATTAAACCTTATATTATTATTAATAATAATACCTCCAAATCACAAGACATTGGCTTTATTCTTATTCTTCCCCTCTGCAGTTTGAATATAAAGTATAAAAGACTAAAAAGAGATTTTCGTAGATATCCCAGCCTTTGAACTACTCAAGGAACTGCAACAGCAAAGTTTCACTCTCAGGCAAGCTTCCACGCCAGCCGCCTTTCTTTCCTCTTACTTCGCCTCTTTTTAATTTCCACACCACATGGTCTGACCCAGCCAATCAAGCCACACTCTGGCTGTGGTGCTCCGGCGCCTCATGGCTCCTCCTAGAGCAGGGGTGTCAAAATGCCAGCCCGTGGGCCAGATACATCATTGGAAAACCATGCCTACCCCATTGCTGGCAATAGCGAAAAAGCTCTGATACGTGACACGACGTCATGTGATGTCGCGAGTTTGACATGTCTGTCCTAGAGGAAGCAGACAGCGCCGGAGGGGACCCCGTTCGTACTGTACCGCTAGCGGGGCATTTTCAAAACGAAGATAGGAAGGGAAACAATAGGAAAAGTATGCAACTCTGGAAAATGTGTTGAAAAAAGATGCCAGAACCCGTTCTATGACAAAAAAAGCCCTGCCTGAAGCATTTCCATTTTTAATTAATTTGTTCCTTGTTGCTGTTAGAAATACCAGTGTAATTTTACCAATTCATGTTTCTGTACACTTGTCCTTTCTAACTTTCTTCTTGAAAAAACTAGACAAAAGATTACATTGTGGTGATGTTATATAAATTTTGAAGGACAGACATGGCCCTGAACATTTGTTGTCAATAGATCCAATAGCTTTTTGTTAAATTAATTAGTGTATCTTATTTTCCCTCTAAAAGATTTCAGTTTGTTTTTCAGTTGAATTGTACAGCTTATGTGTTATATTAAAGGTGGAAAAAATTCTGAGGGGATTTATCTTGGTCTGATTTTTTTTAAAATCTTTTTTAAAAATACTGTATAGACTTTTTATATCCATTGTACATATGAAATACCTTAAGCTCAAAAGTATCAAACTATCTTAAACTTTAAAAAATCCAATCTACTTAAGCCCTTAACCTTCCCTGCTTTTATGTTTATTTGTTTTTGTGCCTTTGAATCAGTTTTTGACTCCAGCCAGTTGCCTGGGCTAGTCTCTGCAGGTTTTTCACAAGTGGTTTGCCATTGCCTGTTTTGTAGAGCTGAGAGTAA